CTGCTAGGTAGACAAATTGTTATTCAAGTGTTACATGTTCCTTGTAAGAACCAATACCCCCATTTATTGTCTGTCCTTGTTTCAGGGCAGTTTGCTACCAATCTATTTCTACCCTACATGTGTTAAAGAGGTAGAAGAATCACCTTTCTCTTCTCTCCAGTAGTACTGCAAGACCAGCCAATGTGACCCCTATCTAGGTAACAATCTGCTTAAGAACACTCCTGTGAACAAAAGCATCTAGCACTGTATTTACCTACTTCTTTCAGATATTAAGTTCTTAGATTTGTTGACAAACATGCCATATACACTTTAAGCATTAAGAGCTTCATGCACTATTAAACTAAAACAACAAAGGTTGGAGGGAAGAGTTAATATTGCAAGTTAGGAGGTCTGAGTCATATGAAAACCGATTCAAAATGCATCTGTTCCTCTGAATAGAAACCTCCGACAACTCTCATCCCTGGGAGACCATGGGAGTTCTGCCGATTCAGTGAATGCAACTTCCCCGTTAGATTTCAGACTGGATATAACAACACTGGAAAAATATGCAAGTGAAGACACTGAGTTTTTTAACCATCAAGTACTTTTTTTTTTTTAAAGATTTCAAAGCCACCCAAAAATATTTTCAGAGGTTAGTTGTAGGACAGTGACCCAGTCATCAAAATCAGCATTAGTATTTAACAGACTAACATTAATACCTTTCATTTTGTAGGCAAGGTGACAGCTTTTGGAAAAGATGGCTTCTCTTCCGAGTAAGTGATCATTTCTAAATCACTGCAAGCTTTTCATGGTGTGTCAGATTTAAATAGAAAAGAAGCCTCCCCCACCCCCACCCCCATTTAAGCCTGCCACTGACTACTTTGTTAAAACTGCTGATAAAGTGAATTTGGTGTATGTTTTACTTTTTTTTATCTTGCAATGTGTATTTCCATATTTTTACTTTAATTGGGGCATATTAGGAAAAAATCACCATACTTCTTTAAACAAATTAATAAAAGTATTCAAGATTGCTTTAATATAAAACAAGAGCTAAACTTAATGGCTTGACATTCAGAATCACTTTGACCATAGATTAAAAGCTCTTTTCTTTAACCATAAGCATGAAAAGTAAAATTGAGCTTGCATTTTTAAACAGAACTTGGACTTCAGTCAATACACACCAAAATGTTACACATCAGCCCAGAAGTTGGTTTCTGCTTTAAATGCTTCTGTATTAAAATATTTCAGCAGTCTAACCTAAAGCAGATTTCTGTACAGACCGAAAAGAATTTACCACACTGATCATTAATGACCACATAATTCTTATAATAGCCAGTTTTATTAGCTGCAGTCCATGAAAAAAGGCACACTTCCTAAAACCGTCAAACGCATTTGACATTTGCAGTCCTAAGGAGTTGCTATTTTCCCTTTTTAAAAAACAGTGAAGGAAGGAAGCCCAGAGAAGGGAGATGTCCAGCAAAAGAGTTGGCCTCAATCACATCCTGCTTGGGCAGCTCTAAATCCAAGGAGAGCCGAGCATGCCAGCAGCTGTGAGCAGGGAGATGCAGCTGCCAAGAACTTTCAACCTCTGACCCAGTTTGAGCCAGAGCATCTCGCCCAAAGCATGCTGATGGCAGCACAGCTGCAGGGGACTCTGCTGTCTCCCCAGCCAGCCAAACCCTGCAGGCTGCTTTTCAACAAAGATATCTATCATCTTCTACACATGCTAAGAAACTTGCAAATAAGTAATTTACAGTAATATTCATTAGACAGTCTCTAAAGCCAGAGCTGGCTAGTGTCGTTGTCTGAAAAATGTCTGAAACAGTATCCCAAATTAAGTTTCCAGACTTTCTTGGAAGTTATTCAAGATATTAGAATCACTACCTGACTTCTCTGCAGAGGCATATACAGCAATGTCTAGTTGATAGACAGTGACTGGGAGCCACAAGCATTCATTTAAACGTAATTATCAATTTAGTACGCCATCCTTACCAAAACAAAGATAACAAAGGAGGCTTCCATCAGCCAGGAGGGAAACAGGGCACGTGAGCTCCACCACCCTTTTGACTATAAATTTACCATGATGCAATTTTTTTGCTTGTTTTACTGATAGGAAAGTCCTATAAGCTTGGCACCATTGCCATAAAGCTTTGATATAAGTATTACCCTTACCCAAGAGGCTTCCTCCTTCTATTACTTACAAAGTTTTTCCTCCCATGAGTTAATTTTTCCTGCAAAAGGGCTTCTTAAGATCTCATTTTTCATCTGAAGGATGCTGACTCATTACTGAGTTTCCTTAACCAAGGGTTTATTTGCACCCTCCCACAGCTGGCCACTGGCATCAGTAAAGTCAGAGGACTTTGTGTTCAACATAGAGAATGCCATAGCTGTTCAGGAACGGTGAGACCTTTTGCTAATAATACACTACCGTTAAACTCCCTCACAGGCAGCTTGCCTACAGCTTAAGCCTGTTCTACCTGCATAGTCTTACATCTAGAAGCTCATTTTACAAAAGCTGGTAAACAGAGAGTAGCCATTGTTCTGACCACATATGGCTAAAAAAATTGGGGAAAAATGCAGGTTTTGTGTTTCATATCACACTTGATCCCTTGACTTCAACTTAGAAGAAAGTCAAAGTGGAGGTTTGTAGAGACACTCCTTGTAGGACATGAAGTATTCTGCCAGGTTCACAGAACTACTTGTGAACAGAACATACTAAGTTTTCATCATATTTCTATCAACTTCTTAAAGGCCTCATAACTGCATTCTTACCTATATTCTTTTCACTCAAATCTCCTGCACAGTGAGGAATTTAGTCTAGGGACTTCAGTCAGCCATTCAAAAGTGAAGATACTGTTTTCCACTCATTGTCAATAACTTCAATAACCAAGTGTGCCTATATTCATTCTAACCCATCACCAGCTTAGCAAATTTGAATGTTTTTCAGAAAAGAAACCATTGCCTTTTCTTAAAAGGCATATGCACAAGGAGCTATATTGTAAATTTTAAACACGCATGCAAGACATTTGATACATGTTAAATATGGAGACATTAGGGTCACCTCTCAATTTAAGAATCAAATTTTCTGAGGTATTGCCGATCTAACTCTGTGCAGAGTATACTGTCAATCTGGATACCCCTTTGATAAAGCATCATGAGTTAAGATAGACAGTTATCTAAAGACCATGCTTGCTTTAGCCAAATTAAAAGCTAAAAACATTAGCTATTACTGACACATTACTCAAGATTATATAAATCCAACAGTGACCCTAATCTGGTAACCATTATAACACAAACCACATGATTAGTGGCTAGGACCAACTCAGTCACATTTAAAGACAATGCATTGCTTTAATTATTTGCTTTTCTGCCACTTTGGAGAAGTTAAAAAAAATGGGAACACTACAGTTTAAAAGAAAAACAGTCACTGAGGGACAACACAGTAAGAAAATAAGACTATTTTTGCAGATGATTACTTGGTCTCCAGAACAAACATCTTCATTACTAGAAAACGGGAAGCAGATGACTGGTAGCATTGTGCACACTCTCCATTTCTCAGAATGGAAGAGACATCTGGATTTTTACCACAGTATTTTCATAGCACAAGGCCAACAGCATTCATCTGCAAGTAAACTAAGAACACTTGCCTTCTCCCACCCAAAAAGGGAAACCACTTAAATAAGGAAAATTGTATTTGAAAATGTTGAAAAAAGCACTCAGTTTACTTCAGAGTAAATCACAGAATCATAGAATGGTTTGGGCTGGAAGGGACCTTTAAAGGTCATCTCGTCCAACCTCCAAGATTGCACTTTCTATAATCTCATCATTTTCCTACAACATTTTACTGTATGACAAGTCCCATTACATTGAAGTCCTTCAAAAAGAACCTCTTGTTTTTCACTTTAGTTGCTCCCAAAAGGCCCTCTTCGCCATGAAGCTCTTTCTAGAAGATGGCTGAACACTGCTTCATTCACAGCCATTTGCACCTGCCAAACACATCAGCTTATATGGAATTTAAGAAAGGAGACAGAGAAAGCAGCTCTCAAGAGATTCAAGTTACTGTTTTCACCAACACAAGGGACATTCACTTTCTTATGTCAACAAATCTTTCAACTTCAGGATCACATGTTAACATTAACTGTTACAATACATTACCAATTGCTCATCTTTAAAAACTATGCCATTTTATTATTTTAGCAAATTAAAGACAGACTCCGCAGGAATGAATGTATGGAAGTGCAACTTTGTATCAGGGGAAGAAAATCAGAATTACCTTTCTGTAGTACCCCAGTAACTCCAAAACAAGTTCAACTTACAGTACTATTTTGAAACAAAAATACATTGAGTGAGATTAAAAGTTTAAATGAAACAAGATTACACGTTTCAGAATTCTAAGCAATTTCTCACAAGTTACCCAGATAGTAAGTCTTCCAGGCAAGGACAACTATAGAAAGATGAGTTAGATTAAAAAAAAAAAAAAAAAAAAAAAAAAAAAAAAAAAAAAAAGAAACCAACACTTTCATAACACTAGAATATCCAAGAATGCTTTAAGAGGATAAATTTTACTAGAGTAATATCTAGTTTGAAGAAAAACTGAATACACAAAGTATGACTATGGTTTTGTTGCACAACACAGGCAAAAGTAACTCAGAACTGAACTTCATAAAGGAAGCCTAGAATATTTTACAATCACTTTACCATTAAAAAAATTGTAGCATATCATGTTAAATAAGGCAGAGTTTTACAGGAAATTATTACAAGTTCTTATGTTTTGACCAAAACAGCTTAAACACTTTTTAAACATGTATCACCTCTTTATAAGCACTGAGATGTACTGAAGAATGTACTAGATAATCATAAAACTCAAACTTCTTCTCAGTAACTACTATTCTTTAGACAGAGTCTTCCCAGAGCACTCTATGGTTGTACAGTAACAACGTGGAGATAACAGCAGAGAACTGCAATACCTATACATTAATTTTTACAAGTTTTGTACCTATAGTTGTGTGATGCTTACTCACCTGCTGAATAATTTTAGAATCTTTCGGAAGGTTTTCCCTGGGTGGCACTTTTCCAAACAACTTCCAACCAGGAGCACTTTGGACAGCAGGTTTGAGTTCCTTTGTCCTTTTAGTGAAAAAGTTTCTGGAAAGAGAGGAGGGGTTTCTCTTTATTTATTATAAGCATGTAAACAAATGATATTTGTACCCACTTACAGTTCTTTAAACCAAGTTCACCACTGTAGAAATTTACTGCTCAGCAAATGCATAGCTACCTTAGCTTTCTCTTATACTTTAAAATAATGAACTTGAAGTGCAGCAGCTTTCACTACAGGTGCTTTGATGCTAATATTTGTACTTAACACTTAGTTTTACCTCTGAATTTTATGCTACTTTATGCAATATCAGAGCTCTTTTAGTAATATTGGACACTTTCTTAACTGTAATTTAGCAGCATGCAACAGCTCTCAGACTTTCATTTGGGGTTTGTTTTAGCATATCTTATGGAACTATTTGGAGACTGAAAAGAAAACAGCTGGAAATCACTGTGTAACTTCGATTTAAAAAAGAAATTGTGAACTATTACTTCTACTAACATCTTCAGCAACCTTCACACTTCCACAACGTGGACTAGAAAACAAGGGAACATGCACACAGTTTCAGTTTAGCAGACAAAATTTGAGTGTAATTGCTTTAGGCACTGGCAAACAGGCAGATGACTGCATTGCTCTATTACTTCTTAGAAAGCCAACCATCACAAGATCATACTAGCAACCATTTGTTCAGATACTCAGCTGTACTGTTGGACTTCAATCACAAATTCCCACAGAGCATGCTATGTACGAGTGCTTTGAAAATGAAAGAAGTGCATTTATTCTAAATATTGGAAAGTTACTTTCCAGAAACTTATGAAAAACACAAAGAGATTAAAAGTTAAGTAGTCTGTAAGGTTACTTCTCAGGATGCTTACAAGTTGACCTCTGAGCAAACAAAATATAGAGCACTTTTATTGGAAGATGTTTTTGTGCAGTGTTAACTAGCTAACCTTGTACTTTCACGCTCTTCCTCTGGAAAGAGATCCCCAGATTTATTCTTCACTTACAGCATTTGCTGTATTTTAAAATACATTTCCTTCTCAGATTGAATGCATTCACATTTGTGCACAGAAAACAGTGTCTTGGCTTTGCCCAGATAGAAGTTGCATGCTTCAACAACTGCATCTGTCCAAAAAGCACACAGTCGCTCTTAAATTCTAGCGTTGTCAAGGTCTCTGACCACGCAGCATAGTTTTACAATTAGGAACTGTTAGTGTTTGTAAGACATTGCATAGCTTTCACATACAAACTCTTTTCAGTTCCAGAATGTTTTTTTGTTATTTGGGAAACAAGCAAATGCCTGTCACAAAAATCCTTTCTGTGCAAGTCTGTGTGAATGGACTCTATAGATGCTTGTGTGTAGCTGAAGATCTAACCACCGGAAAACAGCAAGCTGGAGAGTAGAAGTAGATATTGCTAAAGCGTGAAGTCTCCCAAGAACCGGTAAGCTCAAGACTAGCGGTCTTGTGGAATCCAGGAGAACAGAGAAACTCAGAACACCAAGACTCTGCTCGTCTGTCCAAGGCCACCAGCACACACTACCATCAACAACAGCTTGTTAAATAAAAGGAAAAAGACTGCATTCAAGAAAGCAGCAGCTGCTATAGGCAGGCAAGGAGTACGGGATTACGCACACACCTGATGAAAGAGGGAGGGCCTTGAGAGATTTTTTTTGAACACCCACATAGAAGCTGTTGGTGAACTAGTACACCCTACCACTTCTGTGGAGGTCTCCCAGCTGTTGTTCCAACCCAGTAATTGAGTAAACATGTTTGAGAATAATTGCTTGCACTGCATGAATAGTTACCTGCCATTAATGGAATCGAGCTGTTGCTATTAATAATTAGCTTCATTAATACAAGGTGTTCTAGTAGCATTGGTTGTGATCCATGCATCCCACAACTCTGTCCCCATCACGGAAACTTGCAGTATCTTAGTCCATCCCTGTGGACGCAAAGTAAGCACCCAGAACACCGAACTAGCTGTTTCTGACACATGACAGGGAAGGAAGAGCTGATGAAAAAGCCAAGCCATGGTACAAACATCTTTAAAAGGCACTGTCCTCAGTCAATCCCAGGACTGCATACCACTAGTGAAATGAACAGGTCCATCCATAAAAGAAAAAAAAAATGCAAAAAGCGTGCTCGCATTAATAACAAAGGCTCATTTCACAAGTATAGGACACCTTTCACAGTGGTTTACATTGTCTTCAGGAGGGAAGGAGGAGTGTTCAAAGAATCATTAAGAAAACAAGACAAAGCATTCTAAAGACAACAGGCAACTAAATACTACACTACAGCCTGCCCTTAAATCTTCAACTACTGCAGATACACCTGTATCTGAAACTTAATTGGAGGAGATTGTTTTCCCAAGAGCAGGTACCCAGGAAGACACATTCTGGAGCACTGTTCTTAAAATAAGAAATAGCTCATGCATCCTGACTTCATGGATAGCAATGACCATCCAGTCTCTGCACATACTACAGAATACCACCAGGATTACCTGGCAGTTCAGCTCCACTGCTTCTAGCACTTGTGGAAGCTGAAAGATGTACGCCTTTAACATTGATGGCAATCTGTCACTGTATCAAAGCTGGTTTATGATTAACCAGGAAGCTAGCAGATTTAAAAAGGCAAAGCTTGTAAACACACAGAAGGTTTAAATTAATATTTCTGTACAAAAGATTTAGGCACACTCATGGCTCTTACAAGATTTTTATTTTTTTTTTTTAAAACAAATCTAACATTAAAACAAACCTTCCAGAACATAGTCCCTGCCATAATGAATCTTGGGGTTTTTTTTAAATATGCTTTGGTGTACTGAATTAAGCAAAGGCTTGTTTCACTTTTTATGAATGCACGAGTGAAAATATACAATTTCACTTTTATTGAGTAGATATTCATTGAAGTCTGTTTCTTGCAAAGGCAAAAAGCTGGTCAAACTTGATATCATGTCAGAATAAACCTCACACAGGAATTCTAATCCATTAGAAATTACTGGGATGTTTACAAATAAGCTTTTCTGAAGATGGAAGGACACTTATAATACATTGTTTTGGCAGCTAACAGTATCACATCTGATGTGTTGTTAACAACAGTAAAGCCTTACAAAAGCCCTGTTAAGGAACAGCATCTGTGAATGCTTAGAAGTTGCATTCACTGAATTGCAGGAAGTGTACTAGATTTGATGTATTTGTTGCTGCTTAGAATATTCATGAGTTTCACTGATCCCAGGAAAAGTCATCCATTGAGATGGACTGAAAAGTCAGTAGCATTTTGGTACAGAATCTCAAAATCCATTTGAAAACTTCAAAATTCCTTAAAAAGAACCCTACACTTTAGAACTGAATAATGCTTTCTGTTGAAAGGACCTGTGAGATACAAGTATTAAATCAGTTCACCGAATTAAGCTCTAGTTTACAAAAGCCCAGTGGAACAGTTACAAGCTTTTTTCCCTGCTAGTTTTATATAACCACACTGGAATGCATATTAACACTCTCAAACGACACTCAAAAATGTTTCAGTAGGTGCACTGAAGAGCTTGAAAAGTAACTGAAGTGCCACTGAATAAGACGACATTACTGGCACATACTAAGACACCTATTCCTAACATTGTTCGGATTACACTATACAAAAACCTATGGGCTCTGATCACACAACTACAACAGCTGTTGCAACAGCTACAAGTGGCAGTTTTCTTCCTTATTTAACAACATTTCTTCAGCTATTCCTGCCTGTGCCCACAGCACTCTGTGCAAGTTTCACCATATTGATGGTACAGTAATTCAAAGATGTTAACCATTTCCACAGGTGGCATTAATGTGATGTTCTAGTAACGTAATTGCTTGTTTCCACTCTGCTTTTGCTTTTCAAATCACTTTTTTGTTGCTGTTTAAGGTAAATTGGTGAAGTCTAAATGCAGATAGAATTAAGTCTCAGAAGAGGATAGGTGGAACTTGATATTTTAATGGGATTTTTTGTTGTTTATTTGGGGGTTTGGGCTTCTCTCCCCCCCCCTTAAAATCTGAAACCAAAAATTTTTTTCCACTTTTTGAGCTAGCTATATGCTAGCCCAAGAGGATGACAGACTTCCAAGTTTTAGAGGAAGTTACTGAAAAATATCAGAGACAATTACTTCAAGCTTAATTTTAAATTTCATCCAACACCAGACTAGAAACTGAGCTGCCATATTTGCAAAATAGCCACTCAAAGAAAGCTGAAGTGCTCTGAATAGCAACAACCACAAACATCAGCAGGCAGGAAAGGCACCAGGCTAGACACAACTCCAGTACTGTGCCTCTATGTACAATTGACTCACCTCTCCATAAGGCCAAGTAGCCTTGTGATAGTCTTCTGTTTGACCAAAAATGTCAAACTCAAATCTAGTTTCAAGCTAGATGTCATTTTGCTACAGTTCTTTCAACAAAAATCACACATCTGGATCTTCCCTTTCTACAACTCCACTGTGTGTCAGTAACAACAGGCTGTGAGTATTTTGCTGCTTTGTGCATCCCAACAAAACCTGAAGTTGCTTTCTTTCCCACTCCAAATGCACATCTTTGGGTTTCCAATCTTAACTTTGAGCCTCCAAGGAGCCTGCCAGAAGAATAACCTCTGAGGATTCAGAGCTCTGATATTGTTGAGATATAGTACTGCATTATTGGAATCAATTAACTTTATTTACTTCCCATTTTTCCCTAAAACTCCCATTTGAGTCCAGCATTCTTAACAGTAACACTTGGAAACAGCATTCATAAACGTGTATCTGCCCTTAGTCCTCTAGCTTTAAAACAAGATATAGATCCTGACTCATCTCTCCACGCCCTCCATGAAACTGTAACCTGTAGCCTTTAAACCCATACATTCAACAGCACTTGTTAAGCTCCAGCCCCAGCTTTCAACACTACAGGACTAAAGGAAGTCATTTGGTAGCACTGCTATTCTAACCTGGTAGAGCAGCAAGAGCATGAATTGTGCTAGAACCACAAAGGAAAGAAAACAGTAGTTTAGAAATCTGTGAAACACAACTAAGCTGTGAGATGGCAAGCTAA